AGAGCTTGGACGCGTTCTGCGGCTTCTCTTCCCGAGGCCTCTTCTTCTGGCTTCCCCACATTCTGTGGTGTGCTTCTCTCCTGGCTCCTCTTGGAGCTCCCTGTGGTGCTTCCAAGGTCCCTGTGAATGGCTCGCTCCCTTTCCACCACCACCCCACACACACACCGTGCTCCGTTGGGGCTCCCTCCCTCCTCCTCCTCCTTTTTAATAAATTTAATTTTTATTATGAAAAGTACTGAGACTGATGCATCGTAGAGTGATTTTCAGCTCATACTTTACTTAGTGATTTCAGAAAACAGGAGATACAGTCACTAGCCCGCAGGCTGCTTACATGTCATAAGAACATAAGAGATGCCAATGTTGGATCAGGCCAGTGGCCCATCCAGTCCAACACTCTGTATCACACAGTGGCCAGAAATACCAGTGCCATCAGGAGGTCCACCAGTGGGGCCAGTGGACCTCCATTTACAACCCCACCTATTACCACGCCCGCACTCGTGATAGGCTATAGACAAGGTTTACAATCCTATAGGTTCTCTGTAGAATCCCTACTCGCCGGTTGGTGGGTTTTAGGATCCTAGGGCTCTATTGTCCCTGGTATCGAAGCTTTGCTAGTATGTTGGGCCACGTGGCGGCCCGACCGTGTGTGCAATTCAGCCAGTACGCAACATAGTAATTTTTCCAAAGCATAACCAAGCATAGTATTCTTGGAGAAGCATTTTTCATAAATTCAGACCAGTTCAGAACAAAAGAGAAAACATAACATACCCAAACATCTGAGTCTATAGATGTTCCGAGTAGGAAAATATACAAATACTGTTAGCATTATTACATTACATGTTATATGAGAGGTACAATCAGCAATCAGAATAGCTTCAAAAATCACACGCTTGTTCACGAGGAGTCAATGCGGAAGAGAAAGTAGATTAGAGAAGAATCATTTTGAGATAAGCAGGATTACAAGGTTGGAGGTCATCGTTTGCTGTAAATTCTAGGAACGGAAGCTGTTTCTCCTCAGGGTTGGAGAATTTGGGGATGTTGTGTCCGCTGACCGCCACCCACCGGGGGCCAGCGAATACCCCAGAGCTTGACTCTGGGAGAACAATGGGGACTAGGCTCCTAGTCTCTCCACTGGGGAGCCAATGGGACCGTGGCGGGAGATTTGAACCCACCAACGGGACCTAGGGGTGTGCCCCCAGGTGTGTATATAGCTGGCCAGCCGGCCGTTTGTCTTTGTTGTCTTTGTTGTGTACCAGTAAACTATGCTGATCACTACATCAGTCTCGGAGGTTTCTTCATGCGTTTAACCCACTACACTTCCGGGGAAGAGTTCTGATTGTTGTAGGCGGTCTGTAGTCTTGTCCATAATGAAGTGATTCCAGACTTCATTTAACCAGCTGGATCGTGTGGGAGCCAGGTTTGACTTCCATGTCGATGGTCTCTTCCTGGGTGGCCTCTTCTAGCCTGGAACTCACTCCCTGCTGTCAACACGTTCCTAGAAAATGCTTGCAGGGAAGAGGTGTGTTGCAACGGGTGGGGAATAAGTAAGGTGTTTGGGGAGGAGGGCTAGAAGGGGGGGGATAGACATTTTGGGGGAAATTGAAATCTCTGCAGTTGGAACTCACTCCCTGCTGTCAACACGTTCCTAGAAAATGCTTGCAGGGAAGAGGTGTGTTGCAACGGGTGGGAAATGAGTAAGGTGTTTGGGGAGGAGGGCTAGAAGGGGGGGGATAGACATTTTGGGGGAAATTGAAATCATGTACAGCTGTGACTGAAACCACACATGAACACATGAAGCTGCCTTCTACTGGACCATCAAAGTCAGTCTTGTCTACTCAGACTGGCAGCGGCACCCCAGGGTCTCAGGTGGAAGTCTTCTCCATCACCTCCTGCCTGGTCCTTTTTAAGTGGAGATGCCGGGGATTGAACCTGGGACCTTCCACATGCCAAGCAGAGTCTCTGCCACTGAGCCAGGGCCCCTCTTTACAACTGTCCAGGGTCTCAGGCGGAGGTCTTTCCCATCCCCTGCCTGGCCCTTTTTAACTGGAGATGCTGCTGGGGATTGAACCTGGGACCTTCTGCATGCCAAGCAGAGGCTCTACCACTGAGCCACGGCCCCTCTTTACAGCTCTCCAGGGTCTCAGGTGGAGGTCTTTCACATCACCTCCTGCCTGGTCCTTTTTAAGTGGAGATGTTGCTGGGGATTGAGCCTGGGATGTTCTTCACACCAAGCAGAGTCTCTGCCACTGAGCCACAGCCCCTCTTTACAGCTCTCCAGGGTCTCAGGTGGAGGTCTTTCCCATCACCTCCTGCCTGGTCCTTTTTAACTGGAGATGCTGCTGGGGACTGAACCTGGGGCCTCCTGCATGCCAAGCAGAGGCTCTTCCACTGAGCCACAGCCCCTCCTTACAGCTCTCCAGGGTCTCAGGTGGAGGTCTTTCCCATCACCTCCTGCCTGGTCCTTTTTAACTGGAGATGCCTGAACCTGGGACCTCCTGCATGCCAAGCAGAGGCTCTTCCACTGAGCCACGGCCCCTCTTCACAGCTCTCCAGGGACTCAGGCAGAGGCCTTTCCCATCCCCTCCTGCCTGGTCCTTTTTCACTGGAGATGCCGGGGATTGAACCTGGGACCTCCTGCATGCCCAGCAGAGGCTCTGCCACTGAGCCACAGCCCCTCTTTACAGCTCTCCAGGGTCTCAGGTGGAGGTCTTTTCCATCACCTCCAGCCTGGTCCTTTTTAACTGGACATGCTGCCGGGGATTGAACCTGGGACCTTCCGCATGCCGAGCAGGTGAGCCACAGCTTCTCCCCTAATTTGTGTAGGAGCTGGGCCCCAGTTTCCTCTGCAAAGTGAACAAGTGCTGTCTCTTGGTTACAAACCGGTGTGTGCGTGTACATGCAGGCTGTGCGCACATTCACTGTAATGTGTACAGGGCTCAGGAGCTCAGCCATTGGGAACCGCCCTCCAACCCGTCTGCCTTATCTTCTTTGGGGCATATTGGTGAAGCCGCGGCTCCAGCGTTGCTTCCGTATAATTCTGGCAGGCTTGTGGTCCTCACCAGGGGTCATTTCGTAGAAAAAGAGGTGCAGGAGCTCATTAGCATGACTTATTTGCATATGCCACACCCCGTGGCATCACCGGAAGTGTGTCAGAAGGCAACACCCACCGCTCAGGCTCCACTGGACTGTTTTGGATTGCTCGCTATTGGGGGGGAGGGGACGTGCAGATCTGTCCTCACAGAGGAGGGAGAGCGTGTACCTGAGTAAGACTTGGTCTTAAAGGTGCCACTGGACTGTTTTGGACCGGGGGGGGGCTCTGCAGCTTACCTGGCTGCTTCTTGCTCTGACTGAGGACTGCTGGGAGCAGGGGGCGGGGCTTGTTGCATGTGCCCGCCCCCTGGGCTCTTTACTGCCGGAGCTCCGCTCCTGTGCGCTCCTGCAAGAAATGACTCCTGGTCCTCACAACTGGGTTTCTTTTGCAGGGACGGCTCCCGAATTCCAGCTGACGCTGAAACACGACATGGAACTAATCAAGGCTCAGCTCTGTGCCCAAACCAAGGTCAGCATGGGGCCGGGGCGTGGGCCTGCAAGAGGCCTCTTTTGTGACCCAGCGGCCTCTGGCCGGGCCATGGCTTGACTTGCAGAAATCTGGCGTAGTTTGCTGGGTATGCTGTGGAAACGGAGAAGCCCTGGGGGTTCCAGGCAAGCACACTTCGGGGTCCTGTTCTGATGGCTCAGCCTGAAGCCACCGCCCCCCCATGGTCAGGAGCACTTTAAAAAAAAAAACCAAAAAACCCTGAGCATGGTTTAGACTGCCCACTTACATTGCAGCAAGCCCCACTGAACTCAGTAGGTTTCCTTCTGAGTAAACATGCACAGGACCAATGCTCCCTCTATGCTGTGGAGTCTTGTGAGCAACAGTTCTACTTTGTGAGCTCCTGGCATTACAGTTGTCAGCAAGCGATTTGGCTGCTGCACAGATTGGTTTGCTCCAGAGCCGTCCTTCCCGAGCTCAGAGAAAAATCTGTTTTTCAGCTTAGAGGGAATGCTGCGCAGGGCCGAGCTGCTAGATAGACCTTTTCCCTATCGTAGATGTCCACAACATCCGATTCCCGTGGAGTCACACAGGGGTTCATCTGCACTGTGAAGGAGCCAAACCCCACCCAGTCTCTGTAGGTCCCGTCCGTGTGCCCAGGTGCACGCCGTCCGTGTGCCCAGATGCCCGCTGTGTGCGTGACCTCTCCCTGCGCCCTCTCTCTCTCTCCCCTCGCCAGGCGTTTGAGGCCCTCAGCCACTCCATCACTCTGCTGGAGCAGGAAAGCCGCCAGCAGCGGAGCCGAATTGCGCAGCTGGAAGGTGAGGGGCCGGCAGGGAGGGTGGGAGGTCCAGCGGGGCTGGCCCCGGGCTCGGGAGCGCGGCGTGGGCTCCGCTCCAGAGCAGGCATGGCTGGATGCATTCTGCTCCAAAGGGAGGCCTCTGCGGGCGGGGTCCTGGTGGTGGTGGGGGGGGGGAAGAAGGACTGATCTGCCCGTTTGGCGCAGTGGTTCGCCATGGCCTCCCTCTGCAGAGCCTTCCTTGGTGGTCTCCCCTCCAAGTACCAACCAGACTCTGCTTAGCTTATGAGATCTGCCCGGACCGGCCTGTACCGTGAGGCCTTCCCTTCCCCCCACCCTCCGTCACAACCCGTTTGTCCTTCCCGGTCCAGAGGAGTTGAAGTATGCCACCTGCTCGTCTCGTGGGACGGCCGTGGAGGCGGTGCTGCAGAGCAGGATCCAGGAGCTGTGGAGAGCCGTGGCAGTGGAGGTGCAGCGGCTGCAGGCGTCCATGAACCGGAAGGAAAGCTCGATGGAGAACTTGTCCCTGGAGGTCCTGGAGAGGTGGGAGGCCGAGAGGGAGGGAGGGAGGGAGGGGTGGGTCCGCCATCAGAGCTGCTCCTAGTGCATCTCCAGAGGCCACTCACAGGACGCCTGCCCTGGCTGGGGGCGGGTGGGGAGGGGCCTCCCCATGAACGCCTGGCAGAAATCGGTCTCCGGAGACCCAGAGCCAAACTTCTGACTGCAGCCCTGGCGGGTGACGCCCAGCAGGGTGTTGTGAGGGGAGTTCTCCGGAGCTGTCCTCTGAAAGCCCCTCTTCGTTCTTTATTCTCCCTCCGCCCAGCAAGAAAATCCTTTGGGAGGAGCTGGAAGCTGTGCAAGCCGAGCTGCAGCGCATCCACCAGAAGCTGAGTAAGTCCCTCCCTCCCTCCCTCCCGGTTACTCTCCCAGCACCACCTTAGCGTCTCCTCCCCTCTCCAACTGAAGCTTCCCCTCGAAATGTACTCCACGGGGTTAACCTGGGGATCTCCAGGAAACCTCTCCTTCCCCTCGAAATGTACTCCGCGGGGTTAACCTGGGCGACACCTTTGGGGAAGGGGGGGAAGGGTGTCTCCCCCCCCCCCTTTCCAGAACAGAATTTCCAAGCTGAGGTTAGAACATAAGAACATAAGAGAAGCCAATGTTGGATCAGGCCAGTGGCCCATCCAGTCCAACACTCTTCTGTGTCACACAGTGGCCAGAAATACCAGGGGCCCTCAGGAGGTCCAGCAGTGGGGCCAGGACACTAGAAACCCTCCCACTGTTGCCCCCCCCAAGCACCAGGAACACAGAGCATCACTTGCCCCAGCCTGTGAGTTCCTATCTATCCCTTGTGGCTAAGAGCCCCTGATGGACCTCTGCTCCATATGCTTATCCGATTCCCTCTTATAAGAACATAAGAGAAGCCCATGTTGGATCAGGCCAATGGCCCCTCCAGTCCAACACTCTGGGTCACACAGTGGCCAGAAACACTAGGGGCCATCAGGAGGTCCAGCAGCGGGGCGAAGACACTGGAAGCCCTCCCGCTGTTGCCCCCCCCCCGAGCACCAAGAATATAGAGCATCCCTTGCCCCAGACTGAGGGCTCCTATCTATACCTTGTGGCTAAGACCCCCTGATGGACTTCTGCTCCATATGTTTATCCGATTCCCTCTTGAAGCCGTCCATGCTTGTGGCCGCCGCCACCTCCTGTGGCCGTAATTTCCATGTGTTCATCACTCTTTGGGTGAAGAAGGACTTCCTTTTATCTGTTCTAACCCGACTGCTCTTTGGAGGCACACCACAGCTTCCCTGACAGCCCAGCTTTTCTTTAGAGCGTCAGAGGAAGGAGGTTGGCCAACTGCTGGCAGATCTGCTGAGATGAATTAGGACATTTCTGGTTTTCCCCTCAGTGGTTAACCACTTGCAGGTAGTTTTTGTAGCAGCAGCAGCAGCAACAAACAAACAAAAAAAACCCCACCCCTGTGGGTGGTTTTCCATTTCTTATTCCCTTTCTTGCCTACAACTTCCCAGTTTTACAGAGGGGTGGGGTGTGTGTGTGCCAGATGTGGAGGCAAAAAATCAAGACCTGGAGAGTTTTCCTTCCCTCTGTTAACCCACCTGTTTTCCTCCACTGGGCAAGAGGCCAGGTGGGCGCTACCTTGCTCTGAGTGGCACAGGCAGGTCCCGTGGGGCTTCCGGTTAGTTTTGTAAAGGATCTGGTCAATGTGTTTTCCTTCTCCCTCCTTGAGGGGCTGGGCTTATAAGCATGTCTCCTGCTGACCA